GAAACAAATACCTAACTAAAATAAAAAGTAGCATTTGAAATTTACAGTAAAATTAAATTTGGTGCATCTATGGCCCTGGTACAGGCTTTTTATCCATGTTCTAATGTTGTTCTTTCAAGTTTGTGTTAATCGACTTTTTAGCAAGAAAATTCGCGATTTAAAATTAATTACATTAATGCGTTATAAAACGGTTTTTGCCACACAGTTGTTATACTAAATAATTTAAATTCAAGCTGTTTATTTTGCAGACAGAAATGTGACACTAATAGAAAAGTTTTAATTTTCAATTTTAATTAAGCAACCTTCTTCTTTACACTAAAGGCACATCGTGTTTGCCTGCAACCAACTATAACAAAGTTTTTCCAATTATCTTATATCTTATATCTATGAAGTTTATTTACTAAAATAAATCTGTCGAAGGAGTACAGGCACATTTTATGGAATGTTTTTTAGGTAATTGTAAAATAAATTTTACAAAATTCCCAAATAAGCAATTAAAAAGTAGGTACACATTAACTTTACCTAAAAGGTTTATGTTTAAATAGAATTATTAATATGGTCAAATAAATATCAGAGAAAAACATTAAAGCAGGTCTCATTTCAGTTGAAAACCCAAATATATACAAATATGTGGACGGTTTGTAAAACTTTCAAAACTATATTATCTAAATAGACAAAAAGTTTTACCAACGTTGCGTAATGAAATATATTAATTAAATGAATGTCTTTTTTTAGTTTAAATTTAAACAAAACTTTTTAAATGTTTCAACAAAATAATAAAAAACACAGTTTCCTAATTTATTAGCTACACTGAGTACTTCCCTTTGTGTATATGTTTCGCTATATCGATTGAAAAAGTTGGTATTTTAATTAAAAATAAAACATTCCGAAAACCAACCAATACTTTAACGCTTTACTGTCAATAAATTAAAGAAACAATTTATTTTTTTTAATTAGCAATGACCCTAAATCGACTATAAAATTAAATGCAGTCCTGTAGTTTCTTAACAATTTTATTAAAAATTATTTATTTTAATATTTCTAAAAATTTTAAATTTAAATTCTGGAAATTTTGGAATACTTTTTAAAACTGTTAAAAATTACCTAACAATAAAAAGTACGAAAAATAAAAAATTCAATTAGCTCGTTGATGTGTAAAAAATCTTTTGTTAATTTTTCCGTGACACTACTTTTATAAGTTGTTTGTGCCCTTACAAAAACAAAGCGATATGTTTCTTTAAAAAAATCCGTTTCGTTTAAAAATGCGTTTGACTTTGCCTGTGCTTTCAAAAAGCTGATGAACAAAAAATTACCCTTTGTCCTATATTTACTGAAATTATGTGTTTGAACTGATTTGACTTAAAACCGAAAATCAAAAAACTGTTACCGAGCCGCTTATTTCACTATGAAACTTATTATCAACGAATCCAAATTCCATTACATATATCTAAAGAAACTGAATCGAAATTTATCCCATACAAAATTAACAAAATCAGATATTCAAATAAAGAGGCATTCTTGTAAATACGAGAGAATAGATAAAATAAAATCGATAATGGGGTATTTTTGCGAAATGAATGATCAATAAAATTCGGACATTCTTCAGTGAGTGCCGCAATAAAAAAAAGTGTGCGAGAAAAGTGTTGGACTGCTGCAAGGTCTAAAAGCTGTATCTGTTCGTGTTTGGGGAATAGGAAGCTAAGGGAAACGGCCCTAATGGATTTAAACGGATGTTCTATCCAACATATGTACTTCTAATGAGCCGACAGCATGCTACTTGCTGTCTACGAGGGTGCCTTTAAAAAATACTGAAACCGCAGCAAAATCTTGCCTGTATCTTTTTGTTACTTATGACATCCAATATGTTCCTTACAACTCTGTAGAATTTTTTGACTTTACTAGACCTTCCAATGAAATCAAGGGCGAAAATACGTATATATACTTCGCTCTTTCATCTAGTCTGGGCCTAGAATGTAAGAAATCAGTTACACTACCTGTGCAGGTGAATTCAATGTACCAGTCTCCCGAAGGAACCAAAGAAAGGGTCAAGTGGACAGTAGCAAAAAAAAAATACGTTCAGGCTTTAATTCGCATGATTTCATCTAGTCTGGTTCTGACTATATCCATATTTCTCGTAGAGTAAAAACAGTACAGGTTAGCCTCAGCAATAACTCATATCCCTTCGTTGAACACGGTTATGTGGCCAATGCCTACTCTTCTGATGATCACCCAAAAATTGTCCTTCTTGATGACCTTGTGGTATTGGGTAATTGTTTTTAATTGTCACTTTGTTTTGTCCTCATTGAAACTTCCCAGCACATTTTGGCTTGCCCCCGTAGCAGTGTTGCACTACACCACTCTGAAAACATCCAGAAATATACACCTGCTCAATTCCTTTACCTTTGCTCGCCTTTTACCACTTCACTGATTTAAAAGCCATTTCAGCGATTAAGGACACTTATTCACATACCAACTCCACCTAAGTGATATTCACCTTCCATTCAACCAAGACTATCCAACAACAACTGTATATTGTTAAAGTATGCTAAAGTAGTTGCATTAAGTATTAAACGCTTTGCTTGGGATGGTTTAAAGCTCACAGTAAAATTATGCAATATATGTACAAATATATTGACCATGTAAACTATGTGCAGAATCCAGATAACATTTATTAAACGGAAAAACAAGAGAAGATTGTGGGCGTGTAGGTTCATCCCTTTTCGGATAGCTGATGATGGAAGGACGAAATGGGGTAAGGGGATGTTAGGGGGAATGGAAATAGGAACGTTAATAAGTACATTGGAATTATTATGAAGAATTTTCGACCTCCCTAAATCTTATCTAATAGCTTACTTACACAACTACATGAAAATAAGATTACCAAACAATTTATGGGATGAGAACATCTCTTATTAATCCTATCGAGCGGATTTTATAATTCAACAAGAAACCATTTTCGGAGTTAAGACATTTTATAAAATAAAACTCTAAAAAGCATTTTATGATAACCAATAATGAAACTACCCACCAATCATCTTATATGAATGGAGTGGGTAGTTAGCACAACGGGCGAAAAATCTCATAAAGGTAATAAATTTTTTAAAAATTTTACACGTAATAAAAATTACATAATGTTATCCGCATATTTAATGAAGGCGACTGCAAAAATGAATCAAGCTAAGAATTTTAATTTAATATCATCTAAATTCTTTAGCCCGTAGATACTGTAATAAATACACAGGCATTATTTAAAATATGCCCATATTTTTTAGGTTATAATTTAATATCTTAAATCACATATACATAGTGAAACATTATAAAATACTTAAATTACAAAAACGTCATTAGGGATGCTTCTAAAGAATCTGGTTCTTTCAGTAAGAATTAGGTACCCTGACGCGTCTTTTTGTAACTCAATGCCCAAGTCGATGGTTCTCGACCCTAGATTGAAGAAATGGTTTCGCACAGTGGGACAAACAATTTCGGACTGCAGTGCCCGAACTTACAGCACAGTAATTTTTAGCAGATACAGATAGTTCTTCAACATCATCAAGGATAGGTTCAGGCGGCGAACTAACCACCCAAACCCCAATTGAATGGGGGTAGTACTAAATCCCTGGTTTAGGGAGATTCCGGATTTGACTTAGTTTTGGGTCAGTCCAATGTCCCTCAAAAACCAAAATGTTTTCCCTCCTTGTCCCGCATTCTACTACACTAAATCGGGCGTATGGCTAGGCCCGGCGACAAAATTCCAGGACCATCGAAACTGACATCCACAGGTTATGCTGTGCGGGATATAATTTGATTTAGTACTTTCCCCTAAGAAAGCCTATTCATACTCGAACCATATTTGGGAATCATTAAGTATTTATGAGTATATACTTTAACTAAATAAGTATGTTAAGAAATAACACAATAAAAAACTTGTGACCGTATCGGGAATATTTGATATTGTCGAAGATGGAAAAACTTTCCATATGATTTATACAATGTTGCGGTAAGAATGTTGTATGCCCGTGAGTAACATTTAAAATGATTATCAAAACATCAACATTGAATAATAAATTTTAGTTTGGGAAAAGTTTGCGGCACGCCGCGTCGCGCCGTCTTGCAACGTGGGGCATTGTCGCACAATTTCAATGGAGCTCGAGAGCTTGTAGTGTGCTGCTATATTGAGGAAGGGTGGATGTTTCAAATCAACTTATAAGTTCGCTATATGGCCTCCGGCTTTCAACTTCACTTTATCATAACCAATATTTGTCTTGATACTTACCTGTTGATGTAAATGCTGAAAAACACGAAATTACCCTTGTAATAACCAAATCTATTAACATGGCTATAATTAGATAAAGATGTGTTGTCTCATTAATTGGTTATAACGTAATTAAACTTATGAGTACATTATTTTATACTTTTTAGTGCGTTAATAGTATACAGGGTATCACCAAATAAGTTGTCATCCTTTTAGTCTCGAATTTAATTTATGCACGAGCAAGCTTGCGAGCGATTGCTTAATTAAATGAGTGTCTAGAAAAGTTTACGACAATGGTGGGGTTAGAAAAAATAATTTAATTAATCTAATACAAATCTTTGTGTTTACAGCAAATTGTGATTTAAAAAGGTAAACAAACGATTTTCATTTTGCACCGTTTGTACTGCAATGTCCCTTTAAAATTGAAATATGCCGGCTTTGCGTTCGAGAAACTTATGTTTTACTTTAAATTTACTACTGCAATTTTAAGCAGTTTATACTACTGAAAATTTCATAGTACTTTTATGGAACACACTAAAATACGGGGAAATTATTTTAAGTGTCCCGAGGAAAATTTTCTTCCATCTTTAATTTTTATCGCTGCGATAAAATTAATTTTTTGTTTCTTATTTGTTTACTCACCTTAAATAATATTACTATACATACCATATCAATTCCACGCATTATCCTGAAAATGGATGTATTTAAAATAAAAATCATTATTAAAAATTCGAAGAAATGTATTAGCTTCAAATATAAATATTATGCAACAATAAAATAAAACATCTCAAAGAAACATAACCTACCACAAAAATATTCAATAATAATTAATATGTTGATTCCTAAACAAAAAAACGCAGGCGTTTTCTATATTTAGCAACACAGGCTTAACATTTATTCAGCTACATTTTTTATTTAAACGCTTTTCGCTAACCATAGTTCATTTTTCCATATTAGTTAATTAATCGATAATTTTCTTTATAATACAGACGACACTTAGCTTTTCATAGCGAAGCACAATTATTTTTATTTTGGCACATATCACAATTATTAGACAGTGTCTCCGCCATTTTGTTGTCAGCGTCAGATTAAGAATATTACAAACAACAACAACAACAACAACAACAGAATGAAAATTCTGTTTGCGCGCGCACAACCGGAAACGTCGTCCGGCATCACGACGTTCTCTTCCGTTTCCGTCAACGGTCCTTGGTAACCGTTGTACAGGCGTTTTTCCGTACTCTCAATGTCGTCAAGTTCGTCCAGTTGGTTGTCTTCCTCGGTTTCCACCCTTTCTTGCATTTCCATTTCTGCAATCAAAAATTAAACGTCAAGGTGATTGATTTAGCATATTATGTATCAAGTTTTAGTCACGATTTTTTATTAGTAACTGACTAACAACAGTTTTTCTCAGTGAAAGTGAGCACTACACCCGAAATTAAGTTAAATCTAGTTTAGTGCCTGCGAAAAACTATTTAATACCTTTGTATTGAAATGATAATAAAATAATTGTCAAATAACTGTCAAATAACTTCATCCCGTGACTAAATGACTCAATGTGTATTTAAAATGTCATGAAAACATGTAGGTACGATAATGGGCGTTTTATAGATGGGAGTAGAAAAAATCCCTTAAATCCCACTGAAAACTAAAATAAGCAATAACACATTCAGTCGGTATACTTATAAATCAAATTAGAAATGAAATTAAAATGTGAGCCGTACAAATAACAGAAAACATCAGAGTGCTGTTTTGTGGAGTTTTGAAAGCAAAAGCACAAAACAAACAAACAAGTAGTAGGTACTTATTTGTAGTAATTTCGACTTCAAAGACAATTTCTATTTATATTTACTTTAGTTTTAACCATGAAACATGTTTATTTAGATTTTGTACAGATTTTCACACTGATGTCTAAATTTATTTGTTAAATCCGCTTTTATTGCTTTCATCGATTTCACGTTTAAACTTTATAAACACAATTAGCTTGTTACTGTTATTTTTGTTGCTATCTATTGCCAACAAAAATATAATCTATTTTATGTATTTTAGATCGAAATTTAATTAATTTAACCCTATTATTTTTAAATTAATGTGTAAATATAATCCCCCTAAAAACATTTTTACATACATTGCTGTACTGTTTTCGTTGGGCCACCCTGTAGTCTTAACCATGTTTTTCCATAATTTTCAAGTTGGTTTATTAAAACAACAACGATTTTATGAGTTCTAAATGTAATGGAAAAAACGCAGTAAACAGTATTTTAAAAACCTGGTATTTGACGGTTATTACGTATTTGTAGGACGACACTGTTATAGATTTTGTCCTAATATTTGCCATAAAATTTTACAACTTCAGGTAGGATGTAACAAAGACAAATAAAAGGAGATGTAGCTAAAATTATTAAAACTTTCGCGTAAAAAAATATGTGAACTCATACTGGAATAATATTTATCTAGAAGCAGGATTTCTTCTTAAAATCCTCACATATAATCAATATATTTAGGGGGTTAAGTAGTTTTGGAGTAAAACTTCTAATAGTCCTGTATTCCTTATGAAAGAAGCCTCCTCTTAGCGAAGTCCAAGTAGCAAGGCCATTGCTACCTAGCAAATGGACTCCAGGACTGCAGACTTTGTAGGCTTTCAAGTATTACGTAAAGCAGTTTTTCGTATTTGCTACTTGAACGCCCTCAAATATGGTATTAAAACACTTTAAGTGTGTGTTTTCATTAAAGAAACAATCTATAAAACGTCGTTTGTGAATGTAAAACGTGTGAATCCTTGGAGAAGTTTGAACCGGTTAAAACAAAAGGGAGCATAGCGAATTCAATACAGAACAGTTGTAACTGAAATTTTAGCGATTTTTCTAGAGAAAACAAAAAATCCAATTCCGTTTTATCGCTTTGACAATTCTCAGCGAGTCTCATCAACATTTCATAGTTTTTGATGCTGTAAATCAGAAAGTAAGTGGAAAGTGGCTTACGCTTACTTACCGTACAGACGTATGTTGCCCTCGGCATCGCCTATCGAATTTTTCGAGATACATTTGTAGCCGCCCAGATCCGATTTATGAAATCGCCTGATTATTAGCTTCATTTGCACGCTGTAGTACGAATTGTTTATGTCCGTCATCACGTACTTGTCGTTTGGTATTATCATCTCACCTGAAAAAAAGTACGTGCAGTCATTTTTTAAATTCATGCAGTATAGTTTTTTTTTGATACTTAAATCTCTTATGAAGAATATTTACTCATACAACCTCCATTAAAAAAATAACCGAATTTTAAAATAAAGTCAAACCCTGACACGTTTTTATTATCTCTTTGAAAAACTGTACTTAAGTATATTTAAATGTACACTTGTTTCATGGGCCATCTTTAAGAACTGAGTTAAAGATTGTATGGCAAAAAAACTTTTTTTATTAAGCGGAGTTTTATTTAAATGTGTACACTCACCACTCTCCCTTGTCCAATAGTTGATTGCCTTTGGCGAGGCTTCTACGTGACATTGCAGGGTTACGTCCGTGTTGACAGGAGCGCCAACCAACTGATTTGGGACTTGAATAAGTGGATGAACTGTAACAAAAAATAATTTTATATATTTAAACAACCCAACAACGAACAATAACAATAGTTGTTATAAAAGATTACAGTAGTTTGCATTGAATTGCGTGATGCAGATAAGTGAGATAATCTGCAATATTGTAATGCCCAGTAGTGTTCAGTTCATCTGTCACAGTGCACTGTGAAACCATTTCGCCATTTGGAGGGCCGACAATAAACAGGAAATAAGCCACGAACGCTATCCGGAATTCAATACGAAATGTACTGTCATCTCACCATACGCTATACGGGGAATACTCAAAAGTATGCAAGCGATTTTCTCACATCAATATATAAGATTTTTTCCGTTTTGACCTTGATGCGTCTCATCAGTGCCACCTTGGTGTAGTGGAACACACCCAAAACAAAAGACTATCTGAGCTTATATACTGCCAACGTGAGCCAACCGAGGCGAGATGTAAGAACATTACGTGATCCACACCGTCTGAAGACGTAGCCAACTCTGGCGAGGTGAAGAAACTTTTGTATTTTTTTTTATAAATACATTTTAAAACCCTTCAAAAATCTTAACTTTTAAGGTCTGGAGATAAAGAAAGCAATTGTGGATCAGCTTGCATCATGAAAGATCACTTTAGCGAACAAAACAAATAGCTTAGCATAGTTTTAAAATGAAAAGTATTGAAAAAGGGAAATTTGTTTCAATATTTGTTGAAGATGAGCTAGTCAATACGGGTATTATACGTTGCCTTTATCAATCTGTTTACTACTGTAGATTTTCAGGTTTATTGTTAGCAAATTTCGTCCTTTTTATGATGCATTTTTAAGGTGGATATTTCAAGTCATCGATCGAAATTTCCAAAGAAAATTTGTTTGAGAATATTCGAAGCCATAAAATCATTTATTATTTTATGCAAAAATATTTTCTTTTAAAAAATTTAAAACTTTTTGTTTCATTTATTTATCTGGTTAAAATTGGAAGCTGCTAAAACAAATTTGTTCTTAATTTTTTAAATTGTTATTCTTTTAGTTTTAACAAAACTACAAATTTGTATTTACCATATTTGCAAACTGTATTTGGCAATTTAATCTTTCTTTTAATTAGCTTTCCCCAAAATTCAAAATTGTATATTGTACAAAATATAATTTCTGTTAATCAAACTATGTTTGAACTAAATCGTGGCCCTTGCGGGCCTTTGTAAAATTGAACTGCTACGTTCTGTTACTTTAAATTAGTTTTTTGAAAAATTGTTTTAGTGTTTGAAATTCAAATAAAATTTGAAATGCTAATGATTAATTAATTATTTTAACCATGAGATGCGTCATTGAAGTCGCAAATTTGTAAACGCGAATCCCTCTTCCCTGTTTAAGTTTCGCAGAAATAATTTAGCAGTGTGAAAGACAGAAAGAATGGAAGAAAAAGGACGGATAATGTGAAGCCGCGTAGAGGAACTGAGAACTGATAACAAGTGCTCCAAATTGATTGACTAACTGACTCTTTTTAAAGGCAAAATTGAAATTGTTTTCAAAGTTTAGCGATTGCGGCTCACTCTCTAACATTCTGTTCGAACGTTTTTTACAAATCGAGTGTAATGTGATGCCCCCGAAAATCCGAATCATTTTATGTATTTTACTTTACATGGGTATTTTCAACTTAAATTTAGTGCACATTTTAACCAAAATGAAATTTTTCATCCAGAAAAGGATTTAATAAATAAAACATTTATTTTTCCAAACTTAATGAGTAATTATTAATAATGTAGAGTCCAATAGACAAAAAATACAGTACGGCGTCCCTCAGGGTTCAGTGCTGGGACCTTTACTGTTCCTTACATACATAAATGACCTTCCTGACTTTAGCAATACTGATCAACCACCCTGCAACACTATAACCAATCAGAACATAAAAATAAAAAACTATTTATTAATAAATGCATTTTACTCTTTTGAAAAATACCTCAATAGTATTCATTGAATACTATTCGAGTATTTTTATAATACCATATATTGTATACAGTCTTTTTTATGACTTGTAAAAGCACTTTGTGTATTATTTATACTAAAACTTAATCATCCAGGTGCCACAGACATGTAGCTACTTAACTTATTCAGTATTAATGTGTGTTTCCAAATAATACACATCAAAATAATATTATCTTATAAGACTATGTTTTACTTTTGTCTAAAATATAATAGTATGGGAGAACTTTATTTTTGAAAAACGTTTAGTAAGTAGTAAAGTCAAAGTGTGAGTATGCTACATGGGAGATTTTATTAGCAAAGCACTAGAGGACGAGAACGGGTCATGTACATTTACGTAGTACAGGCCCGAAATAATTTATGCATTACATTAAATAAATAAATGTATGAAGCTTTCTGTAACGTTTCAAATGGTCGTCACTCTGTTAATAAACTTTTAGGAATATTTAACATCTATTAATGGATTTCAGTATGACACATTTGCATCAAAGGTACATTAATGCTGGCATTAGCGGAGGCGCATGTTCACTATTACTTTTAATCTACGGTTATAATTTTCTTCAATTATTAAAACAAAAGATTTTTTGGGATTTTATTATTATTATACATAAATATTCAATTAGGATAAGATCAGGGCATCTTTTGATTTAAAAGTTGAAAGAACTAAAAATTGTAGGTAATATTAACTAAAAAAATAAATAAGGAAAAACAAAGGTACAAGGTGTTTTCGTATAAAATCTTTATTAGAAGGAATGATGACGCAAGGTAAAACATTCGCCGGACAAACCATACAAAAACTAAAACAAAAAATGTAACAAAATATAAATTTATCACGGCCAATGAAATTCACTGAGAAAAGCCTAAATGATATAACAACATTAAAAGAAAAATTTCTAGAGTTTAATCTTTAGTGGAAGATAATGTTTGAAGTATGTGCTAAGAGCCAGTGGTTCATAATGAATAGGATGAGATAAGCTTTTACTTAATATAATAAAACTACTCAAAAGTTAAACGACTTAGGTCTTTTATCGTCATGATTCCGACTGATTGCCAGGTTTTGCCACCCCTTTTAAAACATTTTTAAAAGATGTCTTTCGTTTACAAATTCAGGTCAACTTTTGGACCCCAGCAGAAAAAAACGATTCTAAACTGTATTTGATACGCTGAATCCGAATCTTTAATCCGTTTGGCATATTGGTTCTACTTTTTGAGTTTTCTCAGGACGAAGAATGGTCATACATCACAAATACACCAAGATTCAGCGAACATCGAAAGACAATACCAAGAATGAAGGCATGTTGGACTCTAATGCCAATACAAACGACTTTCTTTCTGATTTTTCACTTTTAATTTATTGTCAAAAATCAAAAACTTGAATCTTAAAAACGGGAGATTACCAAATTACCTTAGAACCAACTTTTGGTTGGTCTGGTCCAAAACCGTGTATATGTGCAATGGAGAAAATTTATTAGAACCCTCATTATTAATTAAAATTTCTCGTTAGTAATAAATTTAAAGTCACCGCAACTTTTAATAAAACAATCAAATGACTGTGTGACTGAGGATAAATAAAAACGCGTACGCTATACGTATTCGCACACTGGGTCAAAAGTCAAATTTAACTTTGTAAAATAATACTAATGCACGTTGTCTTAATTTCACCTGCAGTAAACTAGATTTAACTGATTAACCATTGAAACACTGTCACTGTGAAAAACTGCTTTTATATCGGATTTATTCGGTGGTTAGTCAATTTATTGTTTTACATAATAATAAGTATTTGTCGTAGAAAAAGTAGAGTGATTAAAATGGTTTTTATCAAACTGGATACATAATATACTATTAAAAAATGTCTTGGTGAAAACAAGCACAAATCGACTTCATTCTCTCCTGATGCTTATGGGCGTTTAAAAGTTCCACATAAAAACCGGTTTTTAAATAAATTTTGTCCCTCTGTGTATTTTTTTTATATGCCGATTTTTTATTGGCGGCCTAACGTTCAATGGAAATTGTGAACAGAAAGCATAAGGAAACAGAAAAGGGGGAAAAGTTTGTATAGAAGTGTACGTGATCGGCCAGATTTTTAATTAACTTTTTCAAATTGTATTATCAAATTTATAGAAACTCGCAAACAACGAAACTTTTACTTTTTCTGAAAGTAAATATGTTAGATATGAAAATGAGATAACAAAGTTTCATAACAAAATATCAAATTTCAATGTAGGTCTTTAAATTATTAAATATATCCATAAACAGGCGAAATTTTTGAATTAATGCGGTATGAAAATATAATTAATACTTCATTGAAATGAAGCTGTTTCGTCATGATGTTTGCGACTTATTAAATTGTTGATTAAGGTTAAGATTTCAAAACAAGCATCAAATTCTTGGCGTTGAAACAGGTGTTCGAGGTAAACCTAATTCGTGATTTCGCTTAGTCTATTAGATCGATTCATTTTACCTAATTGGCTTTCTCCATATCACCTCCCCACTAAGTTTTCACACCGTACTGTTTTAACTTTAATTACTATTAAAAAGTTTACATTTTTATCTGCTGTGAAATTTTAAGTTTTCATTTTGAGTTTTGTATAAAATTTGAAAAACTCTTCATTAAAAATATTTAAAGAAATGTATGTGGTTTGGTCGATGGAAAAGCTGAATTTTCGGCCCTTCTGCTGTTTAGTATTCCGGTCGACAAAAAACGTAGACGTATATTAATTTTCGACATAAACAATTTGGTTATGTGGCGACATAATAAATTCGCCTGTAACGTGACAAACTAAATTGAAGAAAGCGTATTAATTTGTTTTTGTTCACTTAAAGATGGCGAGGGTAAAATTTTAACTTGCAAAGGAAGTTACGTCACAAGTGTGCCACGAAAAATATGATATATATATATAAATTAAAAAATAATTATAAAATCTGTTTTCTATTTTTTAAATAAAATGTAATAAAATGACAAAGTAAATTTTGTTTTTTAAAGTTGGTACCTATCGCTATTTATGCAATGTATTGCTCGAACATCCTTAAGTAAGGCAAAATAATGTTAGTATTCTAGCGAAACAACAAATCCCCTAATTAGTCTATTCATTGAGTTAAAAAGATGGGCCATAAAATAGGATGGAGAACTTAGTTTTATTCAGCTAAATTGTAAGTAAGTTACCAATGCTTTAAATAGACTATTATAGAGAAATTGAACGCCTTTTGAACTTGCTTCAGTTCATTAGTGATAAATGTTTTAACGATGTCTATTACAATCGACCACACAGAACAACTTCCTACCCAGCAAAACCTTCTGTATACACTAGTTTACTGAACTAAAAGAAAATAAAATATTGATGCCACAGAAGTTTTATAATAATTTGTATAAACATAAAATTGAAACAATTATTTTTAAGTGTACTTACTTGAGTCTCCGTAGTAGAATATTCAGATAAACCTCTATCATTTTAATTCTATTCGTTTTTAGTGTTGTATGCAAATTCGCTTATAAAATTTAATGCACATATTTAACACTTGGTGTGTGATGCCTTTTTCATCAAAATTGTCGCTTTGAGCTCGCTCAAATAGCTAAGTAACTTATGATCTAGATAAGAGCAGGTATTACCTTAGTTCGTGCATAATATTAAATACGTTTAAAATTTTATTAAACAATGTAACAATATTTGCTGCGAAAGACGCTCTGACTAAAATAAAGAACGTTGACGATAAAGTTTTTCTTCAACAGCAAAAGGAAGATTTATTTGTAGCAGCAAGGAAGAATAGAAAAATACAGCTGGAAGAAAAAAGTGCAGAAATGTCCGGGACAAGCATCTACGTCTTCTGAAAACTCCGAAATAGAAGTGTGAGCTTGTTTTATGTGAGATATTGGCATGAAGCTTTAGTATCTAAGTTACTTGAATGTATCTTAGTTACTTTACCGAGTAACTTAGATACTTATTAAGATACAAGTTACAAGATACTTTTCCAAAGTAAAGATACTTTCTGTCCAATATAAAAAGTATCTAAGATAAAGTATTTAAGTTACTTTTAAGTATCTTTTTTTTCAAGATACTCTGTTTATAACGATATTCAGCTCTTAGGTATTCTAAAAAGTGATCCATTCAGGGCACTGTATAGGTTAGGAATTTTTGACGACAGAGTTTCTACAAATGATGATAAAAACCAAAATTGCATTAATTAAACCAAGGAAAATAATCTTACCAACAATTTCTTCTTCATTGTACTTATTATTGAAGGAAAATGCAAAGCTGTTTTGACAACAAGTCTAAGTAAGAAATGGTCCAACACCCTAATACATATGTATGATATTTTTAAATATAAATAATCAAACCTGAAAGTTATTTTAATCATTAATCGCAGATGCGAATAATTTTTTTTATTAATTCAAGCAAATCGTAGAAAAATGTTTATTGAAAAATGATTTCGTAGCGCCGAGGTCGCATAGAAAATTGTAAGCGTGTTGTTGTTAAACGAGGTGACAAATTTTGTTTGCCCGTACATCCACACGCATACATGATACACACATATAAAGTGTAAATACGTTTAAAGGGGATGCGAGGGGGAACGTTGTGTATTGGCCAACATGTCCCGGTTCGGTTCTGTATGAATGATGAGAGAAGGGGGGTCGGGGGTACAAGTTGATGCGCCTAGGCGTGAGGTGAAGGGGGCTATAGGTTTATATAATAGCCGCTTAGCATACATGTCGGAAAATGATTGAAGTTACGTTACCTAACGTTTGTATTTATGGTTATGTTTATAATCATCCGGCATTGTCTACTTAGAACCTATTACCCCGGGCCATTGTAACGTGTGCATTTCAACGCGCGCCGCGCCGCATCCATATTCATATGAGCTTTTAAAACAATTGTTCATTCTGGCCTTTGTGCAACAAAATAAATAAAAACGCTGCAATACCGCATAGCCATCCTACAAGGACACTCCGACCGATTTCCACTCTTACTACGCCATACATCATTGCTAATTCAATTTTGCATTTTTACCAAAGCAAGCAACAAATAAATAAATTGTTGAAGAAGTTTTAAAAATTCAACTCACAACCAAGTTAAAAAGGCAGTCAAGTCACCAAAATTGATTAAAACAACGTCTATTTAAAAATTACCACGGAAATGACCGTGCAAATGACCATGGTCAAGGTTTTCCTCATCCACATTCTTCCACGTTCCTCATGCTCTTCATGTTTCTCAATCTTCTTTTTCAAACATCAAGAGATTTCTTTGATTAAGGTAATGAAAGCATCAGAAGAGAGGTTCAAAAACAATCATAGATATTGGACCACCCATTTTTTTTTGCTCGAATAAAAAAGTAATTGTTGTTTGATTTATGTTTTGTTTTTAGTAATTGAGGTGGGATGTTAAAGCAATGGTATTTAATTATTGGGGTGAGATAATATTTTCAAATGAACTGCATAATCGTATCTGCAAGGCAATTGTATTACTTGTTTTGCGCAACGTGCTATATATTTAATAGAGAGAGCTCGAAGGCCTTTGCTATGCTGGTGTGCCTCACTGCTGCACATGATTAACTGTCTTAGCGGGTTGCTCCGGCAAAAAATATTCAAATTACGAATGGCCGCTAAAATTATATACAGCATAATATTTAACCTTAAGTTATTGTTTGACAATGACAAATTGATACTTCGATCATAGTTAAACTTATTTACATTAAACAGTCATTTACACTTTAAATAAATTGTCACACTTCTTTTAAACTTTCAACAATTAATTCTGACACAATTAATATGAAATACACATTCGAATTTATTTATGGCGTTTAATAAACTTACAGCTGGCAGTTCATTGATAACTGGCATTACTTATTAAATGTAATTAATTAACACTTCAGACACAGTTTGTAACACCCTTAATCTTCAACTAATCCTTATTACTAGATGTTTAGGTTTACGTACCTTGTTCACCTTTTCCTTAATCTCCAACGGTTTAACCGAAACAATTGTAATTAATTTTTAAGGGATTAAAAAAATAAATGTATTTGTTTGTTGCAATTTAGAATATTAAATATAATTTTATACCTTAAATTTAATTTGGTCGAATTTTACTTTAGATAGTTGGTATCACAGTCGATTCGCCATGCCGTCCTTAATTTACTTATTTACAATAAGCGGCTGTTAATGTTAAAGAAGAAAAAAGTATTGCCAGAAAAGTCTCGTACGTACTAAAAATGATTTGTATATGTGTGGGAAGTATGTGAGTTGTTTACTTCTTTAAAAGTGTACAAAAACCAAATTATATTTGAAATGGTGTAATAAAATGTGCAACATTCATTATTTGTTTCATTGAATGTGTGTTGATAATTAATAAACTATCGTTATTTATTGCAATCATTACCAACCTAATATACCATTATTGAACCATAATGTTAAATTTTACCATTAAGGTTGTATAAATGAATATTTTAATGTAGTTTTTAATATTCCAATATTACCCTTTAATTATAATCTGTATCTAATACGTTTTTAATAAGGTAACGGTTCTAAAACCAATATCGAATTTTGTATGCATGAAACAAAGATAAAAGTAATAAATAAGTAAAAAAAAAACTGTTTTATTGGTCAGTGTATTTATAAAAGTAAAGTACGGTTTTCTTAAAACTTTATATCACGTTTTTCATTAAAGTCTGACCCACTGGCTTATAGCTTTTCATTACCTGACTTTTACCCCTTCAAATCTTTAAACATGCCTCTTAGATACCACAAAATATATTTACCTAAAGGCCAATGCATACCGTTAAAACAAAAAAAAGTTACTTACAATGTACATGAAGCATCATTCTTTTGCTGACTGAAGGAGGTACACCATTGGCCGCTATGCAAAGATAGGCGCCCATCTCTGACCTTGTCACTTTGGTCAAGGTCAACATTTCACCTTCGATTGATAATAGACGTTCTCCTCTAACTGAAGCTCCTCCTCCTCTTGACAAGATGGCGCCACCATCCTCCCTTCTCCAAACTATACGAGGTTTCGGGTGGCCTCTGGCTTTGCAGACCAATTTGGCCGAGCCTCCTTCGGGTACCATCATGTCTCCCGATGTTTCGTCATTGATTATGTCGGGGGGGATAACCACCTCCAAAAATGCAGTCTGAAATTCAGAATAATGCATTTATGCCAAGTACTGAGTACTTTTACTCCTATTTCAATTACGAGTAAAAAAGTACGAGAACTTTTTTTACTCATCAGTATTTTTCATTTAAAACAATTATTACGAGTACTTACAAACAGAATTCAATGTACTCGTAAAAAATACTCGTGGAATTCACGAGTAATATATACGAATATTTCCGTTTATTATATCGATGAATTTTCGCCAAAATATCGTAGGCAATAAAACATTTTGTTTGGAAGTTTTAAATTTTATAATATATTATAGCCTATAGGTTTTATAACAAGTATATAGGTAAAATTATAAACTATTTAAGAATTGTTATTTTTATTTTTTATTTTATATACCTAATTTTTAAAATAAATAATTTTATAAATTTGTATTTGAATTTTTATAGCTAAGGACCAAAGTATGTAGGTATAATGTATAAAGAATAATTAATTATATTAAGTAAAATTTTTCAAAAGTACTCGTACATTTTACGTGTTCAGAAAATATCGGGAATTTTCGTTATTCGTCTACATTAATGTTGTCGCCTTCAAAATAGTCCCCATTGGATATTATGCACATGTGCCAGGTCTTCTTCCAATACTCGAAACACTTCTAAAACTCGATCTTGGGGATAGCCTTTAGTTCTTTCAGCGATGCGCTTTTAATGTCATCTATGCTTGCAAAACGACGGCCCTTTAAGGTTCTCTTTATTTTTGGGAATAGAAAAAAAGTCATACAGAGGCATGTCTGGCGAATATGGAGGCTGGGGCATCATTACAGTATTGTTTTTGGACAAAAATTGTTCAAAATTTAACAATTTTGGAATAAATTTTTGCTGCCACGCGTTTCATACCGAAAACATTCGAAAAAATTTCATGAGATGAGCCAATCGATATACCAACATCATCAGCGACTTCTCTGATGGTTTATAACCATTTCTTCCACTTTTTTTATGTTTTTATTGGTTGTTAATGTGCTTGGGCGTTCGGGGCGTTCGTCATCTTCAACGTCTTCACGGCCATCGTGAAAACTCTTATACCACTTGTAAACTCTTGTTTTACTTATAGCAAACTCACTATAGGCCTTTGTTAACATTTCACAGAATTTATTTCATTTTTTAAGCAAAATTGGATACAAATTTCTTTGTTCCATTTATTTTAACGAACGAAAATCGCCGAGCTCATAAAACACGTCTAACCTTAGCGGCTGCCACAGACAAAGTAAATCATGAGAACAGCTAAAGTTTTTATCATACTTCGGGGGCATGTGTACCAACATAATAAAGAAAATTTTATGACAACCGGACCCTCCGAACCAGCGAAATTTAACAATTCCCGTTATTTTCTGAACACACCTCGTACAAGGCATACTATGTCAGTTTTTGAGAGTTTTTAATCGCTAATATGAATTCCAAAAAAATATTAGGCCTATTTTTTGCTTCAAAAATACAGTTTATCAAGATTTACACTTAAAAAACAAATCAGCTAAAAATCGTACAATAAATAAAGATTTTACAGGGGTGAGTAGCAAACAAATGGGTCACATTGTAGATATGATTGTAGATTTCAATTTAATGGTTGTTTAAAAATTAAGATTTTCCCATAGAAAAAAAAACGTATGTTTTCAGGGGCAAAAAATCAATTTACGAAATTTTATTAGTTATTATTTTTATTAATACATAGGTTGAATATAGAGATTGTAAATGGTGGAAATGTTGCATCTAGGTCAGTTTATAAGTAAAGTCTAGTGCGCCAACTATTAGTAAGCGCTATTTTGTTTCTGGCGAAATTAAACACAATCATGTTATAATGGCTTGAATGGAATTTCCCTTTTTGCATTTCAATTCGACATTTATTAATTTGAAGCTAAAGTAATATATTCAGTTGGTTTTTTCTGTGTCGCAGGGAAACAGTTTTTAACCGACCCCTCTGCCTTAATGACATTTTTGTAATTTTAAGATATAATAAGATATAATAATAATAATAATTGACTTGATAAATAATTAAAAATGAATAGGTCTTACCTGCATTTTCATCGGGTCAGTGTTAACTTGGCACATGTATTGACCCCTGTCTTCTCGCATGACATTTCTAATATTTAAGGTCCACGTGTTGAAATCGTTGTGTGTTACGGATAAACGAGCGTTATTCGTTATAACATGCTCGTGTATCGCCAAAATCGCTTTGGTATCGGCTTTGATCCAGGCAACCTGAATTTAAAAAATTGGATAAAAGTTGCTAGAACAATTTTTCGCAGAAACGTTTGTTAATTAAATTTTACACACTTCTGGAGGGATAATTTTTTAAAACTGATTATGCTTACAGCTAATAACATTGTACAATTAAATTTAACGTAATTCAAATATTGCTTGATATACAAAAGCTTTTTAGTTCTTGAGCAAAGTAGTGTATAAAAGAATGCCTTTGTCATATTATTGCGATTATTTGATAAAACCTTATTGGAATGGATACAATATTAGACTTAAAATTGATTTTCTGACAACGTCCAAGAACGATCTTTTGAGGACTATTTAAACAGGATTTCTACGTTTCTTAAAAAAAAGATAAATCCCTTTTTAGAAGCAAGAAACAGTATTTATAAAAACACAATAATAAATATAAAATTTGACGAAAGAAACAGGTTGTTTCAAAAACTATTCTTGCGGACATGAAGGCATGCGAGCTCCTTAATATGATATTGCTGCATTTCAGCATATACATATATACTCGTAGCTAAGTTTGGCTTTATAGAGGATTTATTTTGTTGAAGATAAAATTCCTTAGATTTTTCTTTGATTCTTTGATCTTGCTTGATCTTAGAAAAAAAAAACGTCTAAACATATATATTTTACGATACAGGCATATATGGCTTTCAAGCTTACGCTTACTTACTTACCATTTTATATTCCCCAATACTTTAGCGGTAGTAATTTATATTTGTTTTTAAATACACATTGACAAGCTGTGATGGCAATTAAGTCACAGGCTGAAGTTAGCAACAGATTTTATTCACGTTAGTTTTAAGTTGTTGAATGTCATACAAATTTGACATTTAATAACTAGTGACTTGTTTAAAAATTGTCTCATTACGTGAAACTGGCCAACATTTAAAAATAAACGTAATGAAATTAAAAATTTCACTTAACTAAGAAAGAAGTTTGAGTTTTCTAATTTGGTGTAAATAGTTTTTTAACAAACAAAATCAGTTTTGGAGAGATAAATAAAAAGTTGGAAAAAATTGTTACTACTTTAATTAGTCCGTGGAAGGCAAATGTTGCAGATTTTAAAATAATTAATTTTGAACTTGTTCAGTTTATTTAGGCTTTAAACAAACGGTTTATGGGCACGCTACAAAACTAATAAAAAGTTTTGCAATTCTATTTTTTCCAATTTATATGCGATAAACACTGTATTGCTAAAATGTAAGTAAAATAATTTTAAAATGATGAGCACGATAAATTTATTAAAATAATAATATAAAACATTATGTAACATAAACATGAATTTTCATTGTTAAATGTTTGAAAATATTTGTTTAACTTAAGCATTTTAACTATTTAGGTTAAATTGTTCTATTTACATTAATTTGTTAAACAATTAAAATAACAAATAACTGAGCAAAACAAATAAATTTATTTGTGAAAATTACAACAAAAATAATAATTTCATTTATATTTAATTAAAATAAATTTTTATCCGGATTTAAAATAAACTGTTTTGTTAAATACAAGCGCTAATTAGTTTTTGTTTTAGTATTTTGCTTTAATAATAATTATTATTACGTAGAATATTTAAAAAAACTTTGGTTAAAAATTCTTTATCTAATAAAATTAATAAAAATATTAAATTAGAGGTCAGATGTGGGTTTTAAGATTCTTTCACCATTTTTCAAATTTTATTTTATATGTGGAAAATTTTACAAAAAAAAACTTACAAACTAAAAAAATGGTTATTTGTTTTCTTTCATTTTTTACTATCGTAGTACCTATTAGAGTTTATTTTATTTCCCGAGTTGGCTTTTTCATCTTAATTTAAATCCCAAGTGGAAAATTATTTTAATGTATACAAGCAATTGGTGCTGATTTTCTTTCGGGTCTATTAGTTCATACCATTAAATAGGGAGACAATATCAAAAATCAGTAACGGACTAAAAACATTTTACACGTAAGGCCGTATGCACAAAACTTTTTTTGCTAATGACGTTTGTCTAGAATCATTAAAATATTATACGTTTAAAAATTTGTCTCTATAAGTCTGGACCTAAAAAAGATATCAAAAATTTCTCAAAACTGTATCTAGGGTATTTTGGAATATTGAGGGGAACTTTTGAAATATCGAAAATATTTTCCACGGGCTGAATCCAAATTTTGCCTTAAAATTGCTATTTGTTGCTACTACAAATCAGATTTTCCAAAAAGTTCAACTCAAAAGTGAAAAAACGCAGGTATATCACCACAAGTTTTTTTTTCGTTAAAAATCCTTAAACCCGAAAAATAGTTCATACAAGAAAATTTCTCTTACGGTCCTGTTAATTGGGCAGACCCTTTGCCACAACAGGGCAGAGCGGCATACGATGTTTGGAAGCATATCTCTAATTTGAAATTCACTTTCCCCTAAAATACGAAAAGGCAGGATAGTTTGCCAAAGATAGTTTAAATACACTTACTTACTGAACTTCAAATATTAACTACAATTTACCCTGAACTACTTTTACGTATATGCTTAGCGGATTTCATAATTTAATTAAATTTAACATGGTTAAAATCAAATCAAAATATCTAAAACAAACAGCATGGTCATCCAATAATATTTTTTTTCTTTTTATGTATAATCTTATTATTTTAAGGTTTAAATATAGTAAAAATATGACTTTTAAGTAAAATTTTGTTTAAAGTGAAAATATTTACCGTTAAAATTCCTATAAGTTATTTTCTTTCGTAAAAATTTCGTTAAATAAACATTTAAATACTTTGGGACACAGAATCAAGTTTTAATCCCGGCGCATTCGCCATTTTTTAAATTATTTAACGACTGACCTCATTCTAATAAGATTTTGTATGCAAGTAAATGTTGGAATGGAGTGAAAATGAAAAAGAAACATTTGTTTTTATAAAGTGTATAGATGACCTCTTATTTTTCCTTAAAATCATCCAGCAAAGTAGCTTATACTTTTTAAAAGCAACACAAAAATACAGACGTTATTTTAAATGTAAAAAAACAATACACTGTTTATTTTTAGTTTTTACTTAAAACAAATGCTTCATACCTACAAAGTTAAGAAGGTTTAATTAAAAAAAAATTGCCAATATAAAGCGATGCTAAACGAGAACAGGCGTAATAAATAATCAAAATGATCATTGTGACTGTTGATTAAACAGCAAATTCTCTGGGCTCCCTTTTCTTATATAAGTATTTGCCGAATCCGTTGCCAATGTGTTGGCTGCGAAATGCTGTTTGCATATGTAAGCATTTCACCGATGGCACAAACACACAACACGCAACAAGGCAACAGCGCACTAAGGATCGCAACTCGTGTCATATGCAGCCGATACTATTTCTTGATACAAAACATACATATCAAATTGACATACGTGTCTGAACTATGTATGTAATATACTTGATAAAATTGAATTAAAATTTACATTTTAACCCACAAAAACATGTTTATATTTAGGTTTTTTTAAAATATTTTGTATATCATTACAGCATACTTACTATGAAAAATTATTACATTAAAAAAAGTACTCCTTTGTAAATAATGTAAATAATGTAAGGCTTTATATATCTAAATTAAGCCAGTGCTGGGTGTATGGTTTTTCAGATAATATTTTGTGAGATAAGGCGTGATATAGCGCCACGCTGTCTTATTCAAAATAAATCACATCATTTAAGAATTTTATAAATTACATTTTGGCGTTAAAATATATTATTCTAGCGGCATAAACATTTTCTTGGGGAGTCAAACTGCTTCACACAACTATTTGGAGACAATCTAATTACGAACAACAAACTGTAAATCATAATTCTTAACGACTTTAGTACCTTAAAATAGCAATTTTAGTTTAAATAACAGTGAATACTGCTTTTAAATATACAATATAAAGGCAAATAGCAAGAAATGCCAAATTTTCAACTCGAAAGTCATTTTAATCTGAAAGGTAAATTGCAGATGTTTCCAGAGCCCAACTAAGTTTATAAGAATTTTGATTACATTGTAAACAAATTAAGAATCAAAAATGATGGTTTTACTTAGTTACAGACGTAATATTAATAACTTTAAAATGAACCTTTTTCATAATTTACTTCGAAAGAAAAAATAATAATTTAGAACTAGGTATTTTAATTAAAAGTATTTTGCTAATGCGTCTTTTAAAGAATTTAATAATGGAGCAATATTAAAATGATTTGAATACTTAGAAAACTTCTCAAGAATTCATGTTTTAAAACTAATAAGCAGACTTGATTCATCACAAAATTAATTTTTAACAAAATCTAATTATTTGGTTTTCAAATCCTTTTGATTAGTTCACTGTAAGTTTTAAGATTAACTCTTTATTAGACATTTTGTTATTATCGTTTTGCATTTAAACATATTTCACGGGCTGAAGTTAGCTTAAAACTTCATCTTGGTCCCCCCTTTTTTTCGAATGCAACTTCCAAACGCAAAGAGTTACGAAAGTGCGGTTTGATTTTTTGAAATCAGCGTGGTCGAATTAGTAAAATGAACATGTAAAAATTTCACCTTGGTCCCCCCTTATGAAAAAAATATAAGTGCGGTTTTGTGTGCGTGAGGGCGCACGTGAGGGCGCACGTGAGGGCGCACGTGAGGGCGCACGTGAGGGCGCACGTGAGGGCGCACGTGAGGGCGCACGTGAGGGCGCACGTGAGGGCGCACGTGAGGGCGCACGTGAGGGCGCACGTGAGGGCGCACGTGAGGGCGCACGTGAGGGCGCACGTGAGGGCGCACGTGAGGGCGCACGTGAGGGCGCACGTAAGGGCGCACGTGAGGGCGCACGTGAGGGCGCACGTGAGGGCGCACGTGAGGGCGCACGTGAGGGCGCACGTGAGGGCAGGTTAAAAAACTTTTTTATTTCGAGTGTCGCGGAAAAAATTTCACCTTGGTCCCCCCTTATGAAAAAAGTGTCGCATTAGTAAAAAATTCATGTTAAAAAACTTTTTTTTTCGAGTATATGTAAGATAACCTACAAAT